TTTTGTCACTTTTTGAGCGTGTTTGTCACTTTTTTTGAGTACATAATCAGCATGCAATGGATGAGTCTATTTTGGTATTTGAGTTTGTGCCACTTTTTGAGTGTGTTTGTCACTTTTTTTTAGTGTGTGTGTCACTTTTTGAGTGTGTTTGTCACTTCTTTTGAGCTTTGTCACTTTTTTTTGAATTTGTGTCACTTTTTGAGTGTGTTTGTCACTTTTTTTGAGCTTTGTTTTGTGTCACTTTTTGAGTGTGTTTGTCACTTTTTTTGAATACATAATCAGCATGCAATGAATGAGTCTATTTTGGTATTTGAATTTGTGTCATTTTTTTATTGTGTTTGTTACTTTTTTTAAGTTTGTCACTTTTTTAAAAAAGTGACAATTTTTATAAAAAAGTGACATTATGTCACTTTTCCATTTTACACAGTATTTTTTACTTCCTAAAAACTTTTCACATGATTTTTCAAAACACCCCTAATTTTAAGGGTATTTTTGTAAGTACCCCTATAGAGAATACACCCTACATTATGATCCATTTTTAGCCCCTGTTTGTTTACCATTTTTCAAAAAATAGTTTTCTACAGTAATCAATCTCTACCACACATTCAAATAATAAAATATTCTACACATAAACCGATAAAGTTTCTTTCAATTTCAATCACACATTTTTTTCTCAATAATGGTTGACAAACAGGCACTTAATCTACTTTGGTCCACATGCATTGTAGTAGTTGAAACTGTATCTCTGTGTTTTGGGTTGCACTTGAATATTAATTCAACTGATAAAAATTGACGTTATAATTTCAGATTAGTTGAAGAGAAACTTGATAAAATATCTTGCTGGAATAATGGTAAAGAACGTGATAGTTTTTATTTGGTAGTGTTTGTAATGTGTTACAGTGGAAAGCTTAGCTCGACCTTTCTAGATGAGCCTTTGCATCATTATATAAAGCTTAAAGACAAGACATTACCATTCCTTTGTCTTGTCAGCATGCAGTGTCGCTCTAAGTTGCATGCCACAACCTTGCTTCAATAAATTTCATCAGATAATGAGTTCGGTAAAGTCAGATCATCATGGCATCTAGGTTGTAATCTATGACCTAGGTCATCATAGCCTATTATCTAGACAATCATTGATTTCTCCTGATTGGTGATCCTGACGATGCTAACATCAATGTGGCACATTCTTATCCCTGATTGGTTGTGTGAAGGAGGTGCTGACATCATTGAGGAACATTCCTTCAATTTACTCATGACAGCGGTCTTGGCCGCCCTGACGAGGTAAGCCATGTTGTCTAACATAAAATGGTTTTACTTTTTCATTAAGCTTCTTAATTACTTTGAAGTGGTCCTTACTTCATTGGAGGTGGCCTCTTAAAAATCAAACACCAACAAATAACACATTTACAATATGACAAAGAAGTACACATACTCAGACATCAAATCTTATTCTCAATAATTTTAAAGTTTGTTTCATTACTTATCTTTTCTCGTTTTTTATAATCATTAGTAGAATAGAATAAGAAGAAGAATTGGATTTATCAATTGGGTTAACTTTATTCATGGTCATCATAATTTCCATATAGTAACACTGTGCTCACCGAACTATAATTTGTTTTAATGTGACCACCAAACTAATATAATTCAATTATTTATTTGCATGCATGTTTAATAATTAACATTCAATTAAATATATATTGAAAAACGAAAGGTAGGGTACTATTGAAATAATTAAATTATAGTATGACTAAAATCGTTCAGAAAATGATTTTCACTTGAGGCGATATTTTATATATTATAGATTACTAAAAATCCGATTTTAATCCCACGATTCCCACCAAAAGACAAAATTACAATAAATTTGAAGTTTTTTCTTGCTCTCTCTTACTCTCTCCCCCACGCGTTTTACCAAAATCTTAACCATTCCAATGCTTTAAAATTTGTCTATAATTCTCTACAAATTATCACATCTACTAAAAATCTTTAATTTCCAATCAAATTTTCGACTAAGTAGAACATAAAATTGCATTTTCTCCTATCAAATTGTATATATAAACTGTGTCTGAACTGATTATGTCCAATTTGACTTATATTTAATGAATTGTATTTATTTGATTGATTATTAGTATTGCATGTTTTTTCTTTCGATTACTTGAATTGATTATTTGTATCAAAGACACAATAAATTTTTTAAATGTGCATTTTCTTGTGATGAGCAAAATATTAATCAATAAATATTTTTTAAATCTAAATCTTCATTTTTTCGGGTCAACTATAAATTATTCAAAAATTTAAAACAAAATATTCGATTTGTATACGGTATGATTGTGCCGCCATAATTCAAAATGTCTACGTCCATCCCTACGAGGTCGTTCCATCCACTTTATTGCCCAGAATTAGCTCTTTTCGAAGTCAATTATTCCGTATAATATTCAAAGTGGAGAAAGATATTTTCAGACAATTATACCCATCAAACATTTATCAAGTGTCCATGGCATGACCTTTTAGTGTCTATTCAAATAATTTTAATTGAGTTGAGATACCTTGCGCACAATATTAAAAAGTTGGGAACTTGGATGTCGCACTTATAAATGTTGGAATCCCTCGAGGAATTTACCATATTTCTATTCTAATGTATCCACATATATTGAAGGATGTTGACTTTTATTATGAATTCAATTATTCTTCCTAGACAAAGGTGAGGCTAATTTGGCTACTAATATACATCGATATAAACGTATTTTGTTGAATTAATCAAGGAAACCTTTTCACTTCTTTATGGCTGACCTCTCAAAATTTCAAATTCTGAATCGAGACCAAAACTCTTCACTTTCTAGGATTTCTACTATTTATAAATGCCCAGAAGAGTGAATGTCAATCCAATGGCTGGTAAAGAAAGAAGAGTAAGAGTGATAAAAGGAAGAAAAGTGATAAAAGAAGCCAAGCACGACGACTCTCCTTTGAGATCAATTTTTTGCCTTAAAAATTGGGCGAAAGTTAAGGAAGTCGAGGAAAAAGAAGACTGTTTTATCCTAGAATTTGATCCCTATGATTCTTTAGATTACGACTTCAAACTTTCTATTTCCGAGCATGTTGAAGATACTGACACCACTGACTTGTACGTCATTGGTGAAAAGGGAAAGGTAATCGATATTCAACATAACTTATGTTTTAATTTCTCTTTTATGAATACTTTACAATAATGAACTAAATGTGTGCATAATAGGTGGCTTGTAGAGATTATCCGCATTCAAGGTACACTTGCGCCAAGTATCCTTTTGACAAGACTGATCACGAGACTCACTGTGAACTCGTAATGTTTATTTCACGACTAATTTGATCATTTCCAACAAAAAAATAAACCTAGACACTGAATTTAAACTTTCATTGCAGTGCTATTGCTATGTTTGTGACATTGTTGCTCCTTGTGACAAGTGGGTTGGAGCTTCAGGGCATTGCCATGCTTTCAAAAGCTACGCTTGGAATAAAGAGAGACACTTACTAGTACCAACAGATGAGCCATATTTTTATTTCGTTTAGTACTTTTCGAAGACTTAGCGTGTAATAAGCATGTGTAATAACTCATGTCCAATGTGATGTTATTTGCACGACAATGAATGATTTATTATGGAATAATTCAATATATCTAAAGGCGCTACAATTATAATACAACGTCTCGATATATTAATGCCGACAAGTATATAATGCAACTTGAGCAGTAAAATCTAGTGCTATGAATGTCAAGTAGATATGTAGGGGTCCGTTTGATTGCAATAGTGAAACTTTGGTGGAAAGAAAGTGAATTCAAGGGAATTGTTTTCTTGGAAATTGTTAATTAATTATGTTTGATTGGTATAATTTTTCACGTGGAAAATATTGAAAATTTGGATATTTTGATGTTCGTTTGACTTTATTTTACATAAAAATTATCCATTAAAGGGATAGAATTTGTTACAATTAAGGATATAATTTGTATTCATTGTCAAAAAAATAAAAAATAAAAAGGTTGTATAGAAAAGTTTTTCGCACCAAACCAATGAGAAAAAATTTACATT